TGTACGCCCAGCGTACTCAGCATAACCCAAAACTGACCAAGGTTCAAATGGCCATAACTTCTTCGTTCTAACTCCGATTTTGACAATTTGTTTATATCCACGGAAAGGTAACGTGAAGCTCTACACATCTATCAACTCATACTTACCTTAAAACTTTTTGAACAAAAATCCAAAATTCATAACGAGCCCGAACTGCCACTTTACCGATATACCCCTTGGCTCCAAGACACAACTCGAACTCCCGGGTCACCTCAATTACATTATCCGTACCCAAATTGTAACATACATAAACTATGGTCCCAAAAATTTCATTTTTACTTATTAAATAAAACCATAGTTATGAAAACATTCTATCCAAACATAAGTCAAAGTATCTCAAAACATTATCGTTAGAGTTTCCAAATCAAAAAAGTCAGAGTACACATCCCAGGCTAAACATCATGGTGTGTGCAATGCAGTCATCCCGAGCCCTTCCCTTTGCTACCAGAAGTACCTGAAAGCAAAACTGAAAACTGTAAGCACAAAGCTTAGTGGGCTTCCCCAAACTACCATATACCATACACATAATCACATATAAACATATCGTGGGCCCCGCCCCTTCATCGAACCCCGTCTGGCATCGAACCGTAGTCCAGAAAGCATATACCATATCAACATTACACATATAATAAACACATAATCATAAGCATACAAACATTCATCGGGCACCGCCCGACATCGGACCGAAATCCGGAAAGCATATAAACATTCATCGGGCACCGCCCGACATTGGACCGAAATCCAGAAGGCATATAAACATTCATTGGGTACCTCCCAGCATCGAACAATGTCTGCCAAACATACAAACACAGACACATGCAAGAATCACGAAGACATCAAGCATACAAACATTCCTCGGGCATTACCCGGCATCGGACCGTGGTCCGGAAAACATATAAACATACATCGGGCATCCCCCGGCATCGGACCATAGTCCGGTAACATACAATCATACATACGGGTCGGCATTGGTGATTTCGACCCGTTCCTAAAGGAGGAAAACTCACCTCGAATGTCGGATGCTAGCTGAAACGTCTCTGCTCCGAAATCAGCTCAACTCAACCCCCTAAACAAAACAACCCCTTAGATACCATTCATACTTATAACCCCTTAGGGTCAACCATGGTCATAGTCAAATTCAAGGTCAAAGTCAAAGTCAAGGTCAAAGTCAAAGTCGAGGTCAACGCTCCGAGTTGACTCAACTCACCGAGTTTCTAAGAATCACAAAATCGTGATTTCACGATCCAAATCGTCGAGTTCTTCCATGAACTCGCCGAGTTCTTCCTTACCAAACAGAATCGGGACACTTCCATTCAAATCGTCGAGTTTCTTCATGAACTCATCAAGTTCTTCAGTCTGTTAACCCCTTCTTAACTCATTAAGCCATTATCTCGACTGGAAATGCCTCTAGAAGGGTAAAGTTTCCAACTTTACCCATTAATACCCTTCCTAAAGAGATTAAGCTCAAACCCTAACTCTAGAAAGGCTCAAATCTAAATCCAAATATCACCAAAACTACAAGATAGACCATTAGGTCATATATCTGGACTCTAGGGACTAAAGGATCACGTAAAGTTCCAGCTTTCTCTACATGCATGGCCATTAGTAGCTCCAAAAGGCCAAAATGGTGGTCTAAAGGTTGCATGGGACTTCCATGGCCATAAAGTTGGCACCTTTATGCCATAAAAACCCCTCAAAATCCTATATCTGAAGTATTAACCCATTTGGGACGTCCAACTCCCAAGGATCATGATATTTGGACAAGAACCAAGCAAAATAACCCTAAAAGAAGATCTAATCAACTACAAGGCAAAGTTCAAGCTTTATACCAGAAAAGTGACGTGGATTAGGCAAGGATTCTGGATATGCTCCTTCTTGTATCTCCAAGCTCTTCCTTCTTCCAATGGCTTCAACACACACCAAAAACACTCAAAATGGCTCACAATCTCTCAAAATAGATTTAGGGTTTCGAGATTTAGGGTTAGGGACTTGGAGGCTGGAAATGAGGCCAACATGAAAGGTTTAAGGTGTTTAAATAGGGTGCAAACCCGGGAAATTAGGGTTTCATATCTGTCAGCCTACTTGTCGAGTTGAGGCCTCCCAACTCGTCGAGTAGGTTCCTCAAAACCCACGGTCCAAATAATCTCTACTCGACGAGTTTGGGGCTTCCAACTCGTCGAGTTGCTCTATAAAATTGAATAAATTATAAGTTTAAATGCATACTAGGAACCAGGCGTTACACAAATGGGTCTAGATCTCTCTTTTCCAAAGGCCCTAAGCCTTATGATAACCGATCTTCAGGCCACAGTCCCGAATTAGGAAAACGATTCGGAACAGGGCGTTACACATTCTTACTAATTCTTATTCATTTTTGTTCTCACACATCATTTTTCATTCATTTTCATTCTTACAGAATACGATTCAATAAACATTCTGACAACATTCTAACAGAATGAGAATCATAAAAAAAAATCTATAATAACCTTATAGACGATTTAATTAGTGAGAATGCGTGATAATGACAATAGTTATGTAAGGTTGAACGTATTCACATTACCAAATAACATATTTTCTTTGTCATTCTCACAGAATAGCATTGTCCACACATCCACACAATAGATATTCATCCACATTTAAACCTAGCCTTATATATATATATATATATATATATATATATATATATATATATATATATATATATATATATATATATATATATATATATATATGGTAAAGTGAATATATCTAACAACCTTATATAAGCTTACGTACCTAACCCTATCATACTGCGTCGTTTTGTATCATATTTGCATTGTAATTGCCCAAGGTTGTGAAACTTCAACCCCATGCCTTGATTTATTTCCAAAATTTTTGGAATCTCACCATTGTCTTCCTTTTACATCATGTCTTTCTTTCGAATACCTTTGATGGGCTTCATATACTACCGCAATAATGTAAAAGGGAAATAACGGTGAATGTCCGAATATCTTGAAAGTAAATTAAGTTAAGGGTTGAAGTCCAAGAACCTTAGACCATTGCGATGAAAATATAATGCAAAACGACGTAATATGGTCGGTTAGGTACCTAAGCTTATATAAAGTTGTTAGGTATATTCACTTACCCATATATATATAGATATATATATATATATATATATATATATATATATATATATATATATATATATATATATATATATATTAAAGTTTGTTACCTTTACAAATAATTATTCATATTTAAATTTTGTTTTCTTTAAACAAAACAAATATAACTTTTTTTTTTAACTGAACAAATACAAATATTATAATATACTCTTAAACTAACACTTAATTCCACATATGTCCACCTTGAACTCTCAACCTCAATGAGGGAGGGCACCACCTGATACCGCTGGTCTAGAAGTCCTTTGGTAAAAAACAAATATAACTTGTAACTTTTAGTATTTAGCTTTTCAATAACATCTTAAATACATTTAATAAAACGATGAGTTTAGATGAATACATTTATATTTATCTGTAATGGTAATATACCTAAAATTTGCATTTGCTTTAGAACAAATTTATCTCCATACATGCTAAAAAAAATCATTATCGATGAATGAAGTAAATTATACTTTTTTAGAACAACAACTCACATACATTTTTTTATTTTTTCTAAATCAAAATTTCTAGTTTCGAGTAGAACCTAAAACTTTGATTAATTGGCTAAGAGACAACTTTTAGGCTATTCTTATATCATTAAGCTACGTGTCCTTTCTTAATAAAATAAAAGAACATAAACATAACCATCGGTTATAAGATACATGAAAATTATATGAAAATACATTATTATCATACAAGAAAAGATACATGTAACCATCCAGAAAATGTGAGCTTGATTTCTTCTTTTGGAAAATATTGCTAATCATAGTTTACCTTTTTTACATATTAGAAAGGACTACAAGATACTAGCAATTTTCATCTTCCACAAAAGGTTTCCTAAATTTATATTTAATAAATAGTATTTAAAATATTTAATCAATGATTCAATATCTCCATTATATTACATATATCTATTAAAATATTATATATCTTGAAAATAAACTAAATTCTCCTTTACTGTCAAATGAATGAATGATCCATTAAATCAATTGAATTAAATCTTATTACGAAATTAAATTTACCTATCATTGATACAAACCTTATCACTCATTTTCATCCATACAAAATCACCACATGTCATTAAAAACCCCTTAGCTTATGGGGTATGGTCACTGCATCTTCACTAAAAAAGTATTGACACATCTGCGCCACATCATCTTTACTACATATTCACTACCACACTACTAGCACATGGAAATGGTTACCACTCCACATCATATATATATATATATATATATATATATATATATTAGATTAAATAAAAAAACATAATTTTAAACTTAAATAATCACTTTACTAATAAGAAAAATAAATAAACATATTGCTAATTTATAAAATTAAATGAACATATATAATTAATTATATATAGTTGAGGGTTTAAGTTAATTCAAAGATAAGTAGGAGGGTGTAAAGAGGTTGAAAGACATAATGTTAGGGACCATAATTGTAACTTAAATTGAAAACAAAATTGGAGAATTCGTTTGACGTCCACAAATACCCATTTTTGTTTTCTTCTTTACCCGTTCTTCCACAAAAACCAGTTTAGCCATTGCTGAAAATTGAAGCTTCAATCTTCCCTTTTTACACCATTTAATTACATTTAAATCATATATCTCCACATATTATTGTCTCATTTTTTAAAATTTGGAAGAAAAAAATGTGATTGGCTGTGATTCGAAAACAAATGTGATTGGTTCATCACATTTACACCTTAGTCGGGTGGTGTTCACGCGTCGGTAACTTTGCCACATAGGCTTTTACGCGTCAAAAAAGGGTGCCATACCCGATGGCCTTATAAAATTAAATAACCTCTCACAAAAACCTTTATCGGAATATGTGTCTTCTCTCCTTCGTCTTGTGTCTACTTCCGGTGGTCATCTCCGCCGCAGCACCACCACTCCAGCCGGGATACTACGCCAAATCCTGCCCAAATGCAGAGCTCATCGTCAGAGATGTGATGAAGAAGGCGATGCTCAGAGAACCCAGAAGTGGAGCTTCTGTCATGAGACTTCAATTCCATGATTGTTTCGTTAACGTAAGCATCTTTGAGCTTTATTATGTTGTTGTAATTAAGAATTGGAGATAATTTTTAGGAAAATCGAAGATAATTTGGGGGTTGTTGAAATTATTTTGACCAGGGATGTGACGGGTCGCTGTTGTTGGATGATACTCCGACCATGCTTGGGGAGAAACTCTCTTTGTCCAACATAAATTCATTGAGATCGTACGAGGTTGTCGATGAAATTAAGGAAGCTCTTGAGTCGGCCTGCCCTCATATTGTTTCTTGTGCAGACATCATTATCATGGCCTCTAGAGATGCTGTTGCTCTGGTAAACTTTTATTTTATTATTAGTTATATACTTTGGATTGTGCTAAAATCATAAAATAATGTGTTTTAGCACAAAAGAAATCTTCTAATTTATTTAGAAAATGATTTTTTTATGCTAATTATCTTTTTCAATAAAATTATTTTATAGATTTGACTCAAGCTCAACTACGTGAATGTTTTGTTTCTTATTTATTTCGTCAAATATTTTCAAGAATATGAATAATCTTTTCACATTTTCCTTTTGCAAAATCATATATACTTTATTTTCACAAATATGAACAATTGTGTAAAATAATATATATATATATATATATATATATATATATATATATATATATATATATATATATATATATATTCGCATGACTTATCAGAAAGAAAAAATCAAAATGAATTTTTATTCTATGATAGTTTCTCAAAAGGTAATCATTTAATGTGTTTTTAATATCATGATTTTTAAGCCAAAATTAAATATTACCAATAAAAAAATATTTAATTATTATATGAACAGAGTGGAGGTCCAGATTGGGAAGTGAAATTGGGAAGAAAAGACAGTTTAACGGCGAGCCAGAAAGATTCCGACGACATAATGCCGAGTCCGAGAGCCAACGCAAGTTCCCTTATCGATCTTTTTGCCAGATTCGATCTCTCAGTTAAAGATCTCGTATCCCTTTCCGGTTCTCACTCCATCGGAAACGGCCGTTGCTTCTCCATCGTCTTCCGGCTATACAACCAGTCAGGCACCGGCCGGCCAGATCCCACCATCGAGCCTAAGTTCCGGAAAAAGTTAGACAAGCTTTGCCCTCTTGGAGGAGATGGGAATGTCACCGGCGATTTGGACTTCACGCCTCATGTTTTTGATAATCAGTACTTTAAAGATTTAGTGAACGGAAGAGGGTTTCTTAATTCCGATGAAACGTTGTTTACTTTTCCGGAAACGAGAGGGTATGTGAGAAGGTATAGTGAGGATGAATCAGAGTTTTTTAGGGATTTTGTCGATGGGATGATAAAGATGGGGGACTTGCAGTCAGGGCGGCCGGGGGAGATTCGGAGGAATTGTAGGGTGGTTAATGACCCGCCGCAGGTGGAGGTGGTGGTCGGGGGATTCAGGGATAGGAAAATCTTGAGCCGGTGATTTGTGATGTCGTCTTAAATACGAGTATAATTTATATCTGCTAAAAGTGCTACATATGTTCTCAGATTAGTCAATGCGCTTCATAATACGACGCTATAAATTCTAGTTATTAAAGAAACTTTTTCAGATAGAAATTATTATAAGTTCATTATTTTTTTTTTTAACAGGCAAATGAAATATATAATAAGAAAAATAAAGGACCCCAACAAGGTGCTAGGAGTACAAGATAGGCAAAACAGAAAACTGAAAAAGAAATTACAACCCGGTAAAAGGGTTTGAACACCGGTCTCTCCAGCTAATCTTCTCTGATTTTCCCCTGTATTTCACCCAAGTAAATATTGTAGATATAGTTATATCCGTCACTGGAGTAGGTTGTATCCTTTTGTTGTTGAACAACCTCTCGTTTCGTGATTTCCATATACTCCATACAGCCCCATAGCAAATACTCGTCAGCCTCTTTTTTTTCGGACAGTTACCTCGTTTGATGCAAAATCGACAACATCAAGAATCGAGGAGAGGTTTGTGTGTTGAATATTGCACCAATTTAGTATCCACTCCATTACTGATTTTGCATAAGAACATTGTATCAGTACGTGGTCCGTTGTTTCCTCCTCTTCCCCACATTGACAGCAAGTTGTTGATTGCACATTGACTTCGCGTTTCGATAGGTTGACTGAGGTTGGAATACGATCCTGATTTGCTCTCCAGATGAACGTGTTGACCTTGATCGGAATATATTTCACCCATTCGAACCTTCTGTTGTCAACCAAGTAACAACTATCGAGTTTCAATCTTAAAGCTTTTACCTGGTAATCCCGATTACTGGTGAGAGGGCAAAACCACCCTGCATCATCGTTTGACGATTGTTTCTCCAATATCATCTCAGTTGTTAATCCGTGTTTCGCATGTTCTTTTTGTGAGCATGCAATGTTGTTCCACACACTTGCACGAGTTTTTAGTGAGAAAACATGGTTTGGTTTACCCGCGAGGTTGTGCATACAAGAAATGGCTTTTGCCCATATAGACTCAGGCTCTATTCTGAATCGCCACCACCACTTAACGATTAGAGCTGTGTTAAAAGCTTTTATTGAACCAACTCCGAGCCCACCAGCCGACTTGCTCGAGATAATCTTATCCCAGGATAACCAGTGTATCTTGTGATTTTCTCCTGATCCTCCCCATAGAAACTGACGCCTGAGCTTTTCAAGTTTTTCTAAAATGCCAACTGGTGCCACAAAGAGAGACATAAAATATGTTGGAAGGTTTCCTAGGACCGACTTTATTAGAGTGAGTCTTCCGTCGAAGGATAACGTCTTTGCTTTCCATTGAGTAAGCTTTTTTTGGAACCTTTCAATCACCGGTTCCCAATGTTTTCTTAGACGCATGTTAGCTCCCACAGGGACTCCAAGGTAATTAAAAGGAAGGTTTGATGGTTCACACCCTAGAGGTCGAGCCCAACGAGCTACTTCATCCGGATTCGAACCCACGCCGAATACCCTCGATTTGTTGAAATTGACTTTTAGTCCCGAAGATACATGGAAGCACCTTAGAATTCTGGCGAGGTTCTTTATATTGTGTTCTGTCCAATCACCGATGAATAAGGCATCATCGGCATAGAGCAAGTGGGAGATGACCGGACCCCCGTTTGGCAATTGTAGGCCTTGAAACACCCCGTTAAAGCATGTTTCTTTCATTGCGACACTTAATCCTTCCATTGCTGTGATAAAAAGAAATGGGGATAACGGATCTCCTTGACGAACGCCTCTTGAGAGAGTGAATTCGTCCGTCGGGGTTCCGTTGATCAAAATCGAAGCTTTTGATGATGTTAAGCAACCTTTGATCCATCTTCGCCATTTTTCGCCAAATCCCATTTGAATCATGTTATTGTCTAAAAACCCCCAATTGATGGTGTCGAATGTTTTGTCGAAATCTACTTTAAATAGTAGAATTTTCTTCTTCACCTTTTTTGACCAGGTACAAATTTCATTAATAAGGAGGGGGCCGTCTAAGATGTTTCGTCCCGGCACAAATGCCGTTTGTACTTCATCGATGCATTGACCCATAACCTTTTTTATTCTCACCGCCAGAATCTTAGCTATTATCTTATAGATGCTGCCAATCATAGCTATAAGTTCATTATATAAAAGAAACTTTTTCAGATAGAAATTATTATAAGTTCATTATATAAAAGAAAATGTTGGCATATGAAATCAAAAGGTAATGAAAAAACATTTCACTAACCGAATGTAGCTAATGCCAACATTTTCATCCAACCAATTAAGATGGCTATCGCGTATGTGTGGTTTCTTACCCACACCATCTTTGGAATTAGATTATTCTAGTTCATCCATCTGATCATTCATCTTCGTTCTCATCTAATCCTTCATCCCCGTTCTCGGTGAGTGATGGTTTGTTCATTGATTTTTTTTTTCAAATTTAGTGTTCATCGAGTTTAAGGTTTGTTCATTGAGTTTTAGGCTAGGGTTCTTGATTTTTTGAGTTACAGAAGTAGTAATTAGCTTGATTTTGCTAATTTCATTTTAGGATATATATGTTTAGTTGGTCAAGTTGAAAACAATGAAAATCAATCGTTTGGTTGGCTACATGTTTTTATTGGATCAAGTTACATTAATTACCAATCTTGTTTCCAAATTTTGTGAACACTTGATTGTTTACATTATAAGGATATTTTTGTCATTCATCATATTAATCATCAATATTACCAAACACAATATGTTCATTTATAACGGCATCAAGGTGTTTAAAAATGTATCCCTTCTTAAGGGGGTGAGAGCTCAAGTCCCGTTACACACAAATAAATAGTTCAGAAGTAAGATTTTGTGGGTATGTGTGTTAGTCGCTCAAAAAAAATGTGTTTCATTTATAATCAAATTCATTCGAAGCTTCTAAATTATTCTGACATTTGAATCATTCAACGCTAAACCATTCACATGTTACTAAACAATCCCTAAGCAGTTTGAAAAAAACATTTAACAAGGGTTTGTAAAAACAGTTTTTTAAATCTTAAAAAACATTTTTCAAAAATTTTAATGAAAGAATTTTTGTGAAATGAATGAACTTTTCATGAAATTTGTATAAAGAAGTTTACAAATTATTTGCAAAAGTTTACAAACCGTCAAAGTCTGCAACAAAAGTACCAAACCATATGTGCTTCATCCGTTCGGTCTTCGGTTCTTACAAAGTCCATCTTTTAGTTCTCGGTCCTATCGAGTATGGGGAAAATTCGGTATTGGTCTTGAATTTTTTTCATCTTTCTTAGTATTTTTGGTGGCTATATGTTAGGATCATAACTCTTTCATACAAGCTTCAAAAAGTTGATTATTCTTCATCCATCTTCTTTTATTTCTTGGCTAACATGATTTATTGCCTAAATGTTAGACTCAAGAATCAACTAATTTGGATAAGTATATCATGAGCTATATAAACCTAAACATGGATATATGAAAACTTAAATTTTTCAGACTTTGTCAATTTTTTCTTACTAGACATGTACAAAAAACTCTTAATTTGAAATACTTTTGAGTTTGTGGTTATCGGACGATTGTCAAATTATCCTATTCTAAAATGAAAAAGTTGGGTGAAGAGGAATGGATTTCATATTCATTAGTGATGCAGAAAATTCCAAAGCATATATGATTTGTATAATAAAACATAATGACTTTGTGTCTTTAACAACGTGCTTTAGTTGTGAGCAGTGACGAGTCTAGAACTGAAAATCATGTGGTTCCCTAATCGAGTTCAAGCAGATTGTTCAAGAGAAAAATCAGGTTCAACCGAGTCCGTTTGACCAAAAAGAAACCAATTTGGTATGTATAAAATTGGTGGTGAAAGGACCGAGCCCAAATCGGTCATTGCTTAATTTTATTTTATTTTTACTAAAATCAACTTAAACTTGGAGTTCGTCGGTTTAAATCGCACATAGTCAAGCTTATGGTGTGGAAGCATGAATGTGGAAATAGTTATTTATAATGAAAACATGTCACCACTTTCTTTTTGGAGTCCATGTTGGACTCTTTCATGCCACAAAATATGATGTGATTTTTCCATCCAAACAAACACATTAAGGTAGGTCTTTCAAAATATTTAAGGTGGGTCTTAAATATTTTTGTATATAACTTGTTGTAAAAAATTAAAATAAGGTGGGTCAAGTGACCCACCTTGACATATATTAGCCTCGCCAGTGGTTGTGAGATGCAATTTTTTATGAAATATGTTTTTCAACCATACTCCTAACACTAGTGAAGTGCAAAATCCAGAAAGTTCAGATGACATTAATGGACCTATTAACATAGATGGTTCATAAAATCAAAAGAAAATGTATTATAAAAAAAAAATTGGTCTCGACTTCCAACTATATTTGATGGAAGCATTGAAGGACAAAACATGAATCTATTACTATTACTATTATTATATAGATGTGGTTTCAAGGAACTTTAAAGAGACTATGGGGTATAGGGATGTAGTCTTTTAGAAAGAATTAGTTAATGACAAAATGTCTTCATTAAGAAAAATAACATTTGAGAGTTATTCTATTTTCTTCTAGGTTTTAAACCACTTGGTTTCAAATTTATCTTCAAAAAGAATATGAAACTTAATGGTTTGACTGATAAATTCAAGGTCTAGTTGGTCATTCACAGGTTAGGCAAAAGGCTAGTGATGACTATTTTGATACGTATGGTCTAATAGAACGACTTTTTACCATTATATTGTTGATTGCCTTAGAAGTCATACACAATATGTTGACTCATAAAAGAGATGTCAATTCAGTCTTTTTAAAATGGGTTCTTGATGAAGAATTGTAACACCCATAAATTTCAAACCAATTTAAACTTTCAAAAACAACCCAAGTTTCATTAGTTATTACAAAAAGGTTTCCAAATGGTTTATTATCAGAGTATCCTAGAAACAAAATCATAAAACGTGAGGAGCGGTACGATCACGCCTTTGCCTTGCCACGATCTCCTGATGTACCTGAAACAATAATCGATAAATGTAAGCTTGAAAGCTTAGTGAGTTACCCCCAAAATACCCATACACACATAACCATACACATACAGTAACAAACAGCACATT